TAAAACACTTCAATTGGCGAATAAGAGCTCCAAAACGTCTCTGATTCTTCTTTGTCCAAAAGAGCAGTTCACTTTTCTAAACCATATATAGCGAGTTTTCGCATATCATTATTGGATGGCCTCTAAGTCTCTTCTTTTCAAAATTGTCTTTCATTGGTGCTTCAGTTCTGGCTGCTTTCTTTTCTGTTTTTAATTTGATGATTCTTATTCTGACATCATCAAGATGTGACATCATACTCTATAACACAAATGTGGAATGAGATTAAAAAAGCCGGCCTAAAAACAAAGAATTTTTCCTGATGTTCTCCTAGTACTATTGTTGAAATCTCCAGGGGCGCGGGATAAAGGATTGAAATTTATTCATTTAGAACCCCTGCCCAGTACTCATTGTCGGACTTAAACTTTACTTCAATTTCGCGTGGTGCAATATCGACCAATAAGATACCAGTAAACGTTGTGCAGTTAATTATGCTTAGTTTCCAATTCACTAGGTTTTCTTTGTTATTCATAGGGTTGTATATACCATAGAAACTTAAAGCCGGGGAGGGATTTGATATTCAGCAGGGAAATGTGGGGTTGATGAATTGAATTGAATAGCTCGTTTTAAATTCAGCAGGCTATATATGAGTGACCGGAATCACTCATATATAGCCCGCTGAATTTATAACGAGTTATTCAATTCAATTCATCAACCCCACATTTCCCTGCTGAACATAAAATAAACTAAGTAAACTAAACTATTTTTCCCCTAAAAAAGCAAAACTTGAGGAGATTTAGAGTGTAATAAGTTCGAGTCCCGCAGCTTTTCTTCATATGTTCATCAGAGAATAGAGACAACAATAACCAAGATCTTCGCCGTTACTTTTAAAAGAATCTATTCTTCGGAATTAACCAACGTGTATGAATCAGAAGTAATCGGTGTGACTTGGTCCATTCTATCCAAGCACGTACACACGGCCATTTGGTACTTTAGTTTGTTTCTTCTTGAATCCTTCCCTCGTATTTTTTCGAGCGAATTCAACATCAAAAACTATTGTAATTTTTCTCATTTTTTCCCATCTGCAGACTTTGTCATCGTTATTTGCGGGAAGAAGCATGCGGAGTTCCAAATCCGATAGCAAATCGTCAATATCAAAGTTCGTCAAAGGAATGCCTGTCAAACATATTTTGAGCTATTAACAAATCGTCACTGTTCGACATCGTTTCCAGAATGACTGCTAAGAATATTTGATAACAATATTCAAATTTCGATTGCTCGCTTTCGCATGAACAGGTTTTCTTAAAGGAAGCTAATTTCAACAGTCCATGAAAAAGTCTCAAGAGAAGAGGATTCTATTGTTCGAATCCCAACTAAGAAAAACATTCATTAAGTCTATTCAGTTTTTGCGAAAACCACGTGAATTGAAAACTAAGTTTGTTAGTTACCTCGCACGTCGGCATTACGCTATATACAGCCCTCGGGCCTGCGGCCCTCGGGCTGTATATAGCGTAATGCCTCCGTTCTCGGTAACTAACTCTTACATATTAGTATTCTGTCTAACCACACGGTTCGATTTCTACTCGCAAGTCTGATTCACTGAATACTTCGA